AAAAGCAAAACCAAAAACCAACAATTATGAAACAGGACTTCCAGAACCGCTTCAGAAAGTCACAAGAATGATGGGATAAGCATGTCAAAGTGAAAGGAAGTATTTTGAGGAGCACTGATGGCACTGTCTTTTGCTAGGATATTTTTTATTTAAAAGTACACAGTATTTTTCAATTTTACCTCATATGTGATGATAAATATGTAGTAAGAATGACTTTCCAAATCAAAAAGTACACAAAACCAAGTGTGAAACTAAACTTAACTTGATATTGACTAAAGGTTATCACTTCTACTTCATAGCAGACAAATTGTTGTGGCCATTTTCTGAGTTTTCTGAATTTCAATGACTTTTTTATTCATTAATTTCATTGGCACATTTTAGGTGTACAATAAGATGACATCTATTATCGGGAACTTGTACCTTTACATGATATATCTTGGTTCTTATTTTTTCCCATTCCCCTGCCCTCTCTTCCATCCCTCCACCCCTCCTTATTTACAAAGACTTTGTTTCCATTTTTTCTTTCTTTTCCCTTCTTTCCTTTCCCCTACGCCTCCCATTTCCCCTTCTCCCTTTCCCTTTGGACTTTTACTCCTTATTTCACATTATTATACATTTTGATCCTTATTTATATCAATAACCTTTTTATTAATTTAGATTTACTCTTTGGTCATATATAGGTAGCCTTCTTACGTTATTGTGTTTATAACCTGTTGTTGATAGAATAAAAAATACATCTTTGAAACTGAATTATCTCTATTCTGAGAATTGTTCCAGATCAGATTGCTCAGGAAATCATAGTTCTTCCATGCAGACTGTGTGCAGACTTCATTAGTTTGTTGGGACTACTTAATAGACTGCAAGATTTTAAAAGGCCAAGAGGGCAAAATACAGCCTTTCTTCACTGCTTGCTCAGTTGAATGAATGTCTCCAGTCATAACAGAATCTGTTGTTTCATTTATTGGTGGTTGATGGTTCTTCAGTCAACACCTGAAGGAGGGTATCACAGTGTAAGGAAAAGGGAAGTCACACTAGTCATAGACAGTCTTGAGTTCATGACCTACTTCTACATATCATTCTGGTGATGTTGGAAAAGTCACTTAACCTGTTGGAACTTCACCTTTCACATCAGGACCACCCTTTGTTACATAGGTAAAGTTTAAATCACTGATCACCAGTGATTTTTATACATTGCAAAATTTCAAACATTCACTTTTCTCATTTCCTCCCGTTTCTGCTAACTTTCTATCTCCAGATCATACCAAGACTAACTACCTAATGAGCCAAGGAACCTCTCTTTCTTATCTATATCACCTCTGTAATCTCTCTTTGCTTCTATTCCATCAAGAGAAGAGCTAAGAATCAGCCTTGTGTACAAGTCACCTCAGAGAACATGAGACCATGAATAACTTATCTTTGGAATTACAGTTCAGTTAGCAAACTTAATTCATTCTGCAATTATGATGGCAAATCAAATTGGTCACAAACCAAAGCAAATTTCCCCATAAGGTTCAATGTAAATAAGGTTAATCCATTCCAAATCATATTTTTAATTGCAAAAGTATGCATAAAAGTACAGTGCAGTACAAAGAGAACACAAGAACACTTGCTGGAGGCAACTTCTGGCATGGAAGATAGGAAAGTGGGTGGGGAAAGGATTTTTGTTTTGTTTTATTTTGGGGGGGTGGAGTCCACCACCATGAAGACCTGGGAGAGATCCCCTTCAGGGCTTTTCTCTCTTTGTTTCTTAGCTGCTGGGTCAATTTTGACAAAAAATAATCTAATGTCATTTATTTTTTTCTTGTGCTACACAACACTCTGGAAATGAGAGACCATGTTACCATTCATCGCATTCAATACACTTTGTTTGTTACAGTTAAGTTGGGGTAGTGCTTCTCAAAAGAAATCCTGGCACTCATTTCATTTTTCCATAGTGGAATGTATCACATCACTGCTAACCTCCTTCCTATCTTCTTCTACCTCAGTGGAATGCTCCTCAACAAGTACCTCCTGCTGTTCGCTCTGGAGTTCATTCAGTAAGTTCTTCGTTATGGCTCTCAAGAAGCTCCTTTATGTTTTCACTATTGATGTCCAGACCTATACCCTTGCCTGTGGACGCAATCTCCTCCACTACCTTTACATCATAACATTCAGTAACATTCTGTCCACTCGGTTTTCTCTAGGCTGAATGTAAGGTCCAGTACATGACATCTTCCCAGACTCTGTCAATGAGGTTGATGCAGTGGAGGCTGCTTCCAGACCTTTTTCAGTCAAAGACATCTCTTTGGTGACATTAAAACACATGGTGAAGAATGCCTTTGTATACAGCTTCTTGAAGTTGCAGATTATTTACTCTATGGGCTGCAGAAGAGGTATTTATTGGGGGGAGGAACTTGACCTTTATAAAGTTATACTCAGCATCCATCCCATCTACCCACCAAGGCTGGAGGGTGTGCTAGTGAACTGTCCATTCAGAAGAAGGCATCTTTCAGGCATTCGGTTATCAGGGTGTGAACGTTATTCAGCTATTCCATGAACAACTGCCTTGTAACCCAAGCTTTCATATAGGCCCTCCACAAGATAGGCATCTGGCCTTGTTAACAATTGATTCCTAGAATGCACAAGAGATCTGGCAATGGTACACCAGTGGTGGCTTAATCTTCACATTAGCAATTGCAAAAGAGTCAACCTGTCCATGGATTTGTGCCCCTGGAATGCCTTTTCCTCCTGTGTGATATAGGTTCTGTTCAGCTTCTTCTTCTAGAAGAGCTTTGTTTCATTGGTTTCATTGCATTTGAACATTTGTTGAGCAACTATCTTTCTGCCTTCATGAATTCCACAAGTTCTTTCCTGTAGGCTTCTGCAGCAGCCTTGTCAGAACTGGAAGCCTCACTGTGCCTTATCACACTGAGGATTCCACTTCTCTTGTAGAATTTATCAAACCACTCTCTACCAGCTTTAAATTGGTCATTTGCTCCACTTGTAGAGGGTTTTGTTTGTTTTGTTTTGTTTTGTTGTTTTAGCAATAAATCACTGTGCAATATCCTGCTTTTTCATAGATCATAGCTTCACTAATGCTGTCATCTGCCAAATGTTTCTCATTCAACCACGCTAATAAACGTTTTCCACCTCTTCCAGCACTTGTGTCCTCTGCTTGGTTAAAATCATTACTCCTTTTGCCACATCAGCTCCTTTCATGGCATCCTTGTTCTTCAAAATAGTCAAAATTTTTGACTTTGCTATCTTGTACTCCAAAGGCAGATCAGTCACACAAATACCACACTCACACTTTTCTATAATTTCCTTCTTCAATTCAATGGTTATTCTCTTCAAAAACTTCTTACCTTTCTGTTCTGCACTTTCTTGTTATCTTCACTGCTGCTCTACACATTCTTATTACCTTTTTTACCACTCTGCATATTTTTGTCACCTTCACTACCAATCTGCACTTTTTTTTTTTTTACCACCATGCTTGCTCTGTGCTTTCTTTGAAGCCATGCTGGATTGAATAATACTGTATTGTATATGCTTAAAAGCATGCAAATATGCTTCACAGCAATTGTTCACAAATACGTCTACAACCACAATCTCAAGTAGAGGAATCCATGACCACATGTTAATCAGGGGTGTTTTTTAAAAAATTCATATTAACTACAGGAAAAGTAAATGTGAGGTTAGAGCAGGGAAGATGGCCATGTTCATGTTCAGGCAGGGAAGATGGTCACCATCATGTTTGTTCCCAGCGTGGAGTTCATGAATGAAAGTAAACTTTTGCCAAGTGCCTCTGTTCACAAAATGAATTTTTCTCGGACAGAAGTGTTCATGAACAGAGATATTACTGCAGCCACTAGTGGATAGTTCAGTAACAAGATAGTTCACAAAAATGTATGCAAGTGCTACTAACTTTTAGTTCCAAGAGGGTAGAAACTGTATGTTTTATTCATGCTTGTACCCAAGAACTTAGCCAATCACTTAATGCAGAGTAGTTAATCAAACATTTGTTGAGTTTACTGTCTAATGTGAAATTCATTTAGTAATTCAGAGACCAAATTTGCTCAATATTTAGTGTTTCTGTATTATTTCAATCCTTAAACTTAAAGCTACCACACTTAAATAGAAACCCACATTTACTTTTCCTGTAGATAATATGATTTTTTAAAAAAAACACCCCTAATTAAATATACCAGCAGTATTTAATACCAAATGGTTGGTAGGTTAAGTTGATGTTGTGCGCATGAAGCATGCATTCCAATATGGCAAGTAAAATAGAAAATGTCCAAGAATGGGAGCATGTAGTTGATATTGCCTCAAAGTATCTGTGTGGTTACCTACCACGGCACCTAGGATTAATGAAAAACAGTGAATCAGATTTCAACTTTATTTTGAGGTCATCTCTTTACAGATGCTTTTGTCCCTTTATAAAAGAAACTAAAAATGATAAAGAGAAAGAGGAGGAGAGGTTAGAGGAAAAGAAAAAGAAGAAATGTGAAGGATGAAAGGAGAGGAGAATGAAAAAGTAAAGGCGGAAGAGAAGAAACAAAAATAGTTTTGGGAGTTGGATACATAGTTTGGTGATTCAATCCCAGTTCCAAAAATAATATTTATAATATCTGTGTACAGAATAATAGAGCTCCGTTAAAATAATACAATGTCTTCAACTTATCTTTCCAAGCAACATGAGGGAGTGAAACCAACAGAAATCAGTTTTTCCTCTCAATATGCCTAAGTTTATAAAGAAATAAGCCAAAAAGAATTTAGCTCCCAATGCTTATGTAACAGCCATAAGACAAAGAGACCAGTGAAAAGTTTATTCCGCTCTGATGACAGAGATTTGGGGAGAGGCAAAAATTATTCTGAGCTATTAAGTCTATTTTCTCATATGGCCCAAGACCTTACCTTATTCCTCCATCACTCTTTGGAGTGGGAAAAAATTGGGACCCTCATATGAAAATCATGGCTCTGAAAGCATTCTGATAATCTCTTCTAGAAGCCACCTCATTTTTTAGGAGAAGAAAATTAAACAAAAGAGCTTAGAACCAGGGAATGAGGCTCTGGCAAAAGGCATTATTTCTCTTTTGTTGTTGTTTATTCATTTGCTTATTTGCCTATGTCTAATACTCCAATAAATGGGTTACTTTTCTAATTATCTGATGTCAAAAATTGTTGATTAGGTGTAGGGGCAGAAAAGGGAGCAATGCCTCCCTGTTAATCATAAAGGGTTGTGGCTGGCCAATAACTGTATATGAAAAGACACATTAACAAAAGAACATCATAATAAATATATGTTATTGTACTTTTATATAACACAAGACCCTTCCAATTGAAGACCCAAAGAGTCAGGGCAAATGATACATTTTTATACTAAAATTTTCTATTGCACAGAGAAACCAGTGAGACCTATATGTTTAGATTGTTCATGGTGTAGCAGGACTCTCTTCCAGGTAAGGGATAGGACCCCTCTTAAAATGGGAGTCTCATGATCTACTTCAGACAAGGTTAAGTCTGAGAATTTCCTTATGATTATCTTCCAAAAAATCTGGGGAAGATTAGAATATATTTTCAGACTTTCTATCTTGCTTTGGAAAAGGGGGGTTTTTAGGATCTATGGCCTTCTTTAAAGGAGTGGAGAAGAAATGAAAGTAGGAGTCAGAGGGACAGGAGATGATAAGAGAGGAACTTTACTCTGAAAGCCATTCCTTTGGGGTATCGTTTCTTGAGCCCCGACACTGGAAAACCACAAAGGTGGGCTTGGAAAGGACAAACCATGTCATCATAGTGACATTGGATAGTATCAAGAAACAGACCTCTGATGATTTGTGCATTGAGAGAACAAGAGTTAATGAGTAAACCAAACCAGAGGTGTTTTAGGACTGGGACGCCACAGTTACTTATCTTCCTCATGATACCTACATCATAACAGACCCAAACCACAATATTATTTCCTACTACCCTCATCAACCAAAACTGTTTTGTCTCATTTTAACAGTATAATCACTGAGACATAAAAAGCCTTGCCCAATGTGACCAAACTTTCAGACTATTTGTACATGAGGCTTGAGGCACAGAGAAGGGAGTTCTGACTCAAAATCTGGGCACATGGAGGAGGCCGGTGGCTTATCTGTCAAAAAGGCCAGACCCTGTGGCTTCTGAATGGCCCTCCCGTTTAAGGGCAGTAGCCACGACTGCCATCATAGTGAGGGAGGCCAGTAAGGTGATGTTGGGCCAGGAGTTAAAAATAATGACCCCTCACCCTGTAGAAGCATTGCTCCAAGGGGCCACTGGCTGCTAGACATCAAACTCACACATCACTCAATACCAGAGCCTCCTCCTAGATCAGCCCACACTTGCCTTCTGCCCCACCCAGGCTATCAACCCAGCTAGCTACCTTGCTGCCAGATGACAATCCAGAAGAAATAATCCATGATTGCCAGGACCTCCTAGATCTCACTCAAGCTTGTAGGTCTGATGTCAGAGACAATCCTCTGGAAGAGGCTGAGGTGACATTATTTTCAGATAGAGGTAGTTTTATTGATCAGAAGATCCAGAGGGCTGGGGCAGTGGCCGCCACCCAGAACGAAGTCATGTGGACGCAAGCTCTTTGTGTAGGTACATCTGTCCAGAAGGTAAAATTTATAGCCCTCACACAGGCCCTGAGGTTGGAAAGGGAAAAAAAGATCATTGTCTATAAAGATAGTAGATATGCTTTTGTTACCATTCACATTCATGCAATGTATACAGGGAACAGGGACTTTTGACACTGGCTGGGAAGGAAATCACAAAGAAAGAAAAATATCCTAGCTTTGCTTGAGGCTTCCCAGTTTCCCCTAGAAGTAGCAGTGATGCACTGCAGAGGACACCAAAAAGATGACTCTCCTGAGGTGACAGGAAACCACCTAGCTGACCAAGCAACCCGACAAGCTGCCCAGGTCTCTGTGGAAGTTATCAGAGCTCTAACTGTACTATCCTATCCTCCACCAGTGTGGCCAGAGAACCCCATTTACACCTCAGAAAAAGAGACTCAAGCAAAAGAAAGTGAGTCTCTCCTCAACCCAGAAGGATGGTGGAAAGGAAAGGGTGTAAAGATCATTATGCTGTCCCCCTTGGGAAGAGAATCAATTTGACAGCTCCACTGCACCACCCACCTAGGAGGAACAAAGTTGACTGATCTTTTGTCTTCCCAATTTTTCATCCCTGGCCTCCGTGACTAGGTGTGCTCAGTGAAAAAAGAGATGTCCAGAGTGTGTTCAGGTGAACCCCAAGCAAGGTAGGAAGAGGGCAATGAGAATCAGGTTTAGTAGGTTAAGCTAAGCCCAGGAGAGAATTGGGACATAGACTTCACTGAATTGAAGCCTCCTGCAGCAGGACACAGGTACTTATTAGTGATGATAGACACATTCTCAGGATGGTTGAAAACATAGGAAACAAAGAGGGAAACCATACAGGTGATAGCCAAGAAGCTGTTACAGGAGATTGTCACGAGGTATGGGCTTCTGATCAACACAGAATCAGACAATGGACATGCCTTTAAGTCACCAGTAACCCAAGCAGTGAGCAGGGCCTTAGGAATAAATTGAAACCTCCATTGTGCTTATAGACCCCAAAGTTCAAGTCAGGTGGAGAAGATGAACCGGATTCTCCAAACCGCTTTATCCAAATTGATCTTGGAGTCTGATAAAAACTGGTTCAACCTCCTTCCCTTAGCCATCCTTCAGGCACATTGTACTCCCTACAAAGCAGGATAAACTCCTTTTGAAATTATGCTTGGCAGGCTTCCCCCCTTGTTTCCCCAGATTAAGGATCCTACCCTGGCAAAATTAACTAATAAATCCCTGCTAAAGTACCTACAGGCTCTTCAGCAAGTCCAGGTAAAAATTCATTGCAAGGTGCGTGAGGTCCCACCACTCCCTAGCTCAAAGCCAGCCCACACATTCCAGTTTAGAGACTCGGTACTGATAAAGAGCTTCACACACACAAAGAAAGGATTTAAACCACAATGAAAAGGACTATTTCACAAGGTGACTGGGATCCCCGCCTGGATTTATCACACCCATATAAAGGTTTTGCCAGAATCATGGGCAATAGAGCCAGGTCCTAAACCATTTAAGATAAGACTAAAGAGATAAAAATGATTTTTCTCTTCCTGTGCTTGATTTGCCCCTGCTGCACTTGGGATCAATATCAAGGTTCAGAATGTGGGTCTAGATTCCTCCTACCAAGGATGGGACTGTCACAGCAAACCGAACCTGGAGGCAACCCCAGAATCTCACCTTTCAGGTAGACCTCAGTGCTCTGATGGTTACCGCATTGTCTGTCCCCTCAGATACCCTGCCTTTAGGTAAAGGAGGAAGACTAAGAGTCTGTCTTGGGTGTGGAGCATTGGGGGCTAAGAAGGTCTTGCAGGCCACTGACTACTCTATCTGTCCAGCAAAAGCAAAGGAAAGCCACTGCTTGAGGACAGAAGAATACTACTGCTCTGAGTAGAGCTGTAAAACCATATTTACATGGAAAGGAAAGCAACAGGACCACCACATCCAGGTCTGGAGAACCTCATTCCCTAGTCCCTGTCAAATAGAGCACTATAATCCCTTATCCATAGAAATTCCCCTACCTGAGGACTTTGCATGGAGCCTGGGTCATACCTGGAGAATACAAATAGACCAGCATGGGCCCCATCATGAAACTCTTTTTACCAGAAACAAACTATAGAGCCGAGGCATAAATCACCCATAGGGCCACTGGCAAGGATTCCTAAATTCCAGGAAAAGACTCAAATGTGCAATGAGGCCCCAAGACCCAACTCCACTTTTAGACTTGCCCCCATGCCCCCTGAACTTTACATCCCCAGGCAACTTCACTCATAGCATCTTCCCAGCACAAGCCTGATAGGGATGCTGAATGCCATGCATGCATGCCTTGTTTAGTGCTACTCACCCACAGGAAGCTTCAGACTGTTGGATGTATGTATGCTCCCAATCCCCTTATTTTATGGGTCTGGGGAGCTGGCTGCACTTCCATAACTCGGGGGACATTGAGGGCTCTGCTACTTGTACATATATGGCTCATCTTGATCTAAGAGAGTCACCATACCAACCTCTTTGCAACCAGACCATCAAAATTAACAATTCTTCAGCAGGAGCCTACTACCGCACACCTGAGGAAACCTGGTTTGCCTGTACAATGAGGCTCACCGATGTGTAAGTGTGGACCAGTTCCAGTGTGAGACACCTCTCCTCTGCATATTAGTTGTTGTTCTCTCAGGTCTATATTCAAAGAGGAGTGAAAGGATGAGCTCCATCTTTCCCCCTGAAAAACATTACCAGGAACAGAGAGCTCCTCGGGTTTTAGTCCCCGTGTTACTCGGACTCAGTATCGCTGGGTCCAAAGCATAGAAACAGCTGCCTTAGTCAGGGGTGAATTAGAACTGTCTGAAGCCATCCATCAAGCTGATGCAGACCATGCTCTCCTACAACGTTCAATCGATAGGCTAAACAGATAGACTCCTCGGTAGAAGTGTCATTGCAAAATAGGAGAGGACTTGAGCTTCTTGTTATGGTCCCAGGTGGTTAATGTGTAGCCCTGGGAGAGACCTGTTGCTTCCACGCCAGTGAGACCAGTGTGATTCAGGAGAGTCTTCAGTTAGAAAAAAAAAATGTAAAAACTAAAGAAAGACAACAAGAAAAAGCTCAAGGATGGTTCAAAAAATTGTTTAGTTGGTCCCCCGGCACACAGTTTTGCTTTCTTCAACCACAGGCCCCTTCATTCTTTCCCTGCTTGAGTTCATGATAAACTCCAAGCATAATCAACTGTTCAGTTAGGTTTGTACAAGATCGGATTTCCTCTGTAAAGCTAATGGTATTAAGATCTTCTTATAGCCCCCTAGAGATTGAGAAATAGTCAACGGTTTGACTTGATCTCCGAAGAAAGTGGGGAATGAAATAAGGAGATTCAGCCAGGCTGCCTCCATGGTGACACACTCCCGACCTCTGCCCCCTAATCCCCGGTTGTTTGCTTAGAATTAGGTTAAAATTAACTAAAACATACCATATCCTGTGTTGTTAACCATAAAGACAGGTATTCCCTGCCAGATGAGTGTTGATCTAACTTGGCTATCTGCTTCTGTACCCCTGAACTTGCAATAGATAAAGTCACTATCTTTCACTATAGCCTCCTGTGTGTGGTTTTTGCCTTTATAAGCATGCTGTAAATGTTCACTTGGGGTCAAGGGAACTGGGAACATGAGCTTGGCTGCTGGTTGAATAAAAGGGATCATAACTTGGACAATTTCTTGTGGCAGGATTTTTATCACTGGATTAGATATAACAAGTACAGTTCAGTGGCATTCAGTACATTTATATTTCTGTTAAAGGATCCCTCATCGTAATTTTTTTTTCCACCCAAATTTCATGAAATTAAACTGTACTTATTAAACAGTAACTTTCCATTCTCCTGCAAATCTATTCCCTGGCAGTCACTCCTGAATGTTGTTTTACAGCAAAGAAAAATGTTGACTTTTAGATTGGATTAACAACCAGAAACTATAATTATTTGAAAGAGAAGGGAGAGAGAGGCCGATGTGGAACCAGCTGTGCAGTACTGAGAAGATTCTGGGAGTGGTGTGTGTGTGTGTGTGTGTGTGTGTGTGTGTGTGTGTGTGTGTCTTTAAAAGATTCTCCACCTCCCCGCCCTCCTCCTTACAGTGTGTCACTGTGTTTCTCTGACCTCAGGTTTCCTCAGTCTTCAAGGCTAGCTAGCATGGCCAACTTTCTTTGTAGTTTTGGAAGCAGGTTTGTTGCCATGGAATCCACACTCTGAGAAGGGTTGAGAAGCATAAAGGTAATCATTTGTTTACACTGTTGCTCTTCTTCTGGAAAAGCCTGACTGGTAGGATTCCTGTAAGAGCTCAGCCCCAAAGGGATTTATCCCATCACTTCACCTACATAAAGCAAGACTCAGGGACACCTTGTGGAAGGGACACCTGTTGGGCTCTATCACTTCCCTCACATGGCTAATCCTAGAGCTGACACTGTGAGCAATGGGACTCTCTACAGCCACGAGAAAGAGAGCAACACTCAAGATGAAAAGTGCACGAGTAACGGAGTAGTGAAAGAAAGACAGGTAAGACGCAATCTCCCTCTGCTTGCTCTGTGACTGCCCTAAATGTGTCCCTAAGTAGGGACTGGAAACAGTCCCTACTTAAAGTTCTTTTGATGAAGTGTTTTATGTGTTTTGGATCCTCCCTTCAGCTAATACGCTGATATGCTTGGCTATCAGAAATGTTTAAGTGTGGGGAAAGAAGCGAAAGTCTTCTCTGTATAAGAGAGGATATACACACAGACACACACAGCCTTTGATTTTATAAAACAGACTTACCTTCTAGACTTTCGTTTTCTTTCTCAACCAGTTGGGAGCAGGATTGTGAAGGCTCAAACACAAACTTATCAGCTAAGTTTCACTCCATCAGAGACTTGACTGCTTTTTTAGTGCTTTGAAAAGAAAAAGGAAGTGAAAGTTAATTTTTCTGAGGCGATGTGATGTAGGTGGCGTTTGTTTTTTTCCATGTTCCACATGAAATGCCTCACCAGTTCAAAAGCGAGTTCTTTTCAGTGTTCAATGGAGCATTGTTATCGCCCAAACCTTGATTGGAGGCTGGGTGTTTTTGAAATTTGACATCACATCCATTACTTTCTAAAATACTTCAGAAAATGTGACTCACTGTGACACTGTGTACAGAAACCCAAGCAGGATCTTTAACACAGACCTTTGAGTTTTTTTTCTCATTTTACATTTTCTTTTTCTGTTATTGCTCTGTAACAGAATTTTTTAGAAGATGTGCTGAGAAGGGGAAGAAATCAAGAAATTATTGGAAGAAGGAGCTGGGTTGTGTATGAGTCTTACAGGAAACCAGTTCTCTAATTTCCACACTGCCCTTTGCTCTACTCTGAGCAGCAGGAAGTCACCTGCCTGGGGCAAACCTGAGCAACCCACCAGGTAGCCTGGCTTTGGGGAAATGTGCAGCTACACAGGGAACCCCTGCAACCTTGCAGCAGTGACTTGTTTGAGGGTCCCACATCCAGCCAGGGAAAAGTCAGATTGTTCTGAAACTGAGGCACTCATAGGACTGCCTCGCTCAGAGAATTAAAGTTGTAAATCCTGTCGGAGAGGCAAGAGGCACTTTGGAGCCTGGCTTGTTTGTAAAAAGGTGTGGTCCCCAAAATGTAACACACACCCTCCCTATTCGTTGTTAAGAAAGCCTCGACTGGAATCACTGTCCCAGCTCTCTGCACCTATAAAATGCATACAGCTCTCTGGTCATTCATTTATTTATCTTCTGGATCATTCTGACCCTGAGAGTTTTCATTAAAATGACACATTTTAAAAGTTTGTTTTCTCTTCCCTTTATCTTGATCTGTAACCACACTCCTATGCTTAAGATTAGATTCTTAGGTGCAAGGTTGCAGCCACTCCTCAGTAAGGACAGAACCCAACATCCTAAAGGCTGGTTACTAAGCGCCCCTACAAGCAGCTAACATCAAGGCTTCTTTCCCTAGGAGCAACTGAGTCTAAGAAGCTCTGTTGTCTTCTCTGAGAGCTCTTTCTGAGGGGCCTTCCAGAGCCTAATGGCTAAGACATATTTAGGTGTTATTAAGTTGAAATTGGCTTCCACTGAGAGCCTCAATTATGACTTTAAAAATATTTTCCAGAAAGAAAAACCCTGCTGAGATCAGAGCGTCATAGAACAAACAAGGGCCTATTTTCACCCTCTGTGGAGTGAATGAAATTGCCTTACACAATCCTCAGCCCCTAGTTTACCTCATGGGTCCTTTAAAAAACTAGGTCTTACCCACAAGCCTTGCCTGTTGCCCATAGCAATCCATAAAAGTATGCAGACATCTGCAGTCTTTTAGGTGTTTTCTGCCACACCTAATGTCATACGGCACACAGTCTAAAGTCTACCCCTTTCTCCCAAGATCCTCTCACCTCTTTTCGTCCTGATTAGTCACAACCCCACAGAAATAATTATCTCTTTTATATTTTGGGGGACCCTATAAGATTCTGCTGCCAAAGGGTTTCCCAGCATAATAAACAATATAATAATTGCTTGGGAATCCTCTTCTTTGTGTTCCAAGAGGGGCTGGCTTTGAGTACCCTGACTTTGGCCAGACCTGTCCATTGCTGGAAACTTTTCTTGAGTTATTTTCTGAAGCTTTTTGGAGGTTAATGACATTGCGTAGTCTTTTTGTTTGTTTGCTTCCTCTAAACCCCATGTAGCATGAGGATGCAATAAAGCTGGTTTTCATCACTGATTAAGTTTGTTTCTTGTTTACTTCTAAGATGCTATTCTGCCTTTCACTTCTCATAGAACACTATTGTCCTGGAGGGGTCATTCTGCTCTCTCATGCAAATGCCCAGGGAAGACAGAAGAGCCCTTAAGTCTTTAATCTATAAACATCATATTTCCTATAATTTGCTATTGACTTTCTTAGGCCCATAAAATTTATTTATAATTATTATTTACATAATTGCTTTTAAGTCACATGAATTGTTTCTGACCTGGCAGCAAACTTTTATTAAGATAGCCTGAACTTTGGGAGTCAAACCCTACATCTTCATTGTTCTTGATTCTGTGTGCCTTCAGTCATTTTTTATAGGATGCAGTGCACATTTCCTTCTATCAAAATGGTCCTAAATGATGCAGAAAAATTTTAGGTAATGTTTTCCCTACTTGGTTTTTTTTCCTGGGAAACAAAAATCCTGAAGTTAGAGGTGCTGTAATTCAATGTTTATGGAGTTTTTAAACTGAGTGTTGTAACAATACCTAGCAGCAGGTCTTACTAGCTAGTTGCTTTTTCTCTCATTTATTCATCAATTCATTCACCAATTCATATTATGAATATGTTATTCTTGGTGCATATGAAAATAAATAAAATATTTATGATTTAGTTATTGAGAGGAAATCTATAATAAAATTAAAACAAAAACATTAAAAGTAAACACTAATACAAGGATTAAAGATGTCATAAAGTAGATATGATTTCAGGACAAATGAGTAGAATAGACATAGAACTCATAAGGAGAAGAAAAATAGCATCTGTCACTGTTCTGCTGTCCACAAGGTCGAGCATGCTATATGGAAGACTGCTGTACCTGTACAACAGCCCGGTGAGGTCACAGCATGATATCGCTTATAGAGCGAGGAAACTAAGTCACTGAGGAACTTCAGCAGAATCACAGGGAGCATAGCTGGCTTTGGACTGAAATTCATGTTGATCTAAAGTCAGTTCCCTTTCCATGTTTTCTGGGGATCCACAGCTTAGGAGGTCAGTAACAGATTTATAGAACCCAAAGGAGTCAGATTAAATCTTGAAGCACTGGAAATGACAAAGAAAATAAGGAGTTTATTTCTGTGAGCCTAATAAGGAAAAGAAGGGAAGGGAACTCCAGAGATGAAAGTAGGCATTGCTAGTATGAAGGCAAAGGAAAAATCATAAAACATTCCAGGAAGGAGGAAGAAAATCTTACGAAGAATGTGAAGCACACAAGCTTGTAGGACTGTTGAACACTGAATTCAGTGAGACTTCAGGGGAGAGAGAAAATAAGAGGGAAATTACTGTGGCTGAACTGACCAGTACACTCTGCATGAAGGAAAAGGACTCAGATCCTTTCTAGTTTTAAAATCATTTCAGCTAAGCTTCCTACTGTCCCCTCCTTGCTATATCCTCTTAAGAACTGCAACGTACCCTTCTCTTATGGTACAAATTTCTCTGTAACTTACAGGTTAGTTGCCCACAATGGTATCTACCTGATAAGCCTTTGTAAAAACCACCATCTGTGGGGTTCAATTAGGTAGCACACTGACTGAAACAAAGGTTAATATTCTCACCAATTATTAAGAAAATTCAGAAACTAAAAGAGTTTTGGAGAATCCTTTCATCCTACCTTAACATCCATGCAACAATCATTCTATAATATCTTTTCTTTCATTATTCCCATTTCCTTTAAACAGTCTTCAGTGTAACGTCTTTTTTATGAGCTCTCTGAGGAGACCCCATTTTTGAATAGGAAAAAGCTTTAATAAGAAAGTGCAAGATAATGCTAAAAGACTTTAGCTTGAGGCATAGACAAATATCAGGCCTATCCACAACAAATAGGAAAGGATTCCATCTTTTGCAGCTGTGGGGGCACAGGGAGTGGGGGATACACTATGATGAAGAGGAATAGAGTAGCCTCAAAAATCTCCATTTTTTCATGAGTTTTTATTGTAAACCATCAGCTCTGGAGATAGAAACATTTCCCCTCCATTTATAAAGAGTCCAGAGTCTAAAGGATGAAAACAGACAAGTAAAAAGTAATCATATCATTTAATGGCAAGTCCTATAATAGATGATACAGTTACCTATTTCAGTGTAACAACTGTCCCAAAATTCAATGGCTAAAAACAATAACTAATGGATTGCTTAGGATTTCATGGGCCAAGAACTTGGACAGGGCTTGGCAGAAGTGGTTTTTCTCTGTTCTGTGAGGTTTGTTGCAGATCAACTTGTCTTAGTATATTAGCCAGTTCTCTGTTATTATAATGAAATATCTGCACTAGTTCACTTTATAAATGAAAGAGATTTACTTAATTCACAGTTCTGGAAGTTCAAGGGTGTAACACCAGTATAAATTCAGTTCTGTTAATGGCAGATCCTCAATGGTGGAGTGCATGAGAAAGAAATTACATTACCAGACAGGAAGTAGGAGTGATACTGATGTCTCAGGACACCCTCTGAAGAAATGGCTTTAGTCAATCTAAGGACCTCCCACTAGCCCCATCTCTTAAAAGTTACACACTTTCTCCTGACTCCATCATCCTGGGAACTAAGTTTACAACACATGACCCATTGGGGAGCAAACTCAAACCATGTCCAATCCATGCTATTAAGTATCCGAGATACTTAGAGTGTAGGGTCTTGGCACTGGTTGTTGTCCAGAGCCCCTTGTGCCTTCTTTGCAAAGGAATCCTCTCTATGTGGTCTCATTATGCTGCAGAGTATTCCAAACTTCTAACTAACTCTACTTTTCTTAAATCTGAGCTTGATCTAATGACTTATGTGACCTCCCCAAAAATGTGACAGTCTGGGATTTCCAAGAATCATCTATAAGAAGCCTTGCACTCTGAATCTATTCCTCTTAGAACAGCCACTCTTGGAACTTGGTGTACGTGAAGGCAACCTCAGGGGCCCAAGGAGAACCCCAAGTAGAGGGAAAACTAATATTCACACTGAATTCCCAGCAGAGAGGCAGCATCAACTTGCCGCCTGAGCTAGTCAAATGTTTTCCAAGTGGATCCCCAGACCGTGGGTCTGTGCACAAACTGCTACTGCAGTTCTCAGCTGATGTTGGCCCAAATTACAGATTTCTTTTTTCTCCTGAGCAAACAAATGATTGTTGTTTTAAGTTTGGTGATGGTTTATTAAGCAGCAATAGAAACTGAACACATAGATATCATATTTCTTTAAAATGCCTAGAAAACATACTTTGCAATTTCACTTTCATAACCATTTTCAGT